CACAACACTCACCTAGCAGGGAAGTCTGTACCACAAGGGGCCTGCCCTCTGGAAGGTAATTCTGGTGTTTTGGGGTCACCCCTTGTCTATATTCCCACTTCCTCAAAATGCTCTTTGAACAAGATTTATGATCTTACTGGGCCTCTCATTACTGAGTTAATAAATCTTTGACATACCCTCATCCTATATTTACATGAAAACCATGTTACTTTCTTAAAAATCCATTTCATGCTATGTCTATAATCTAGTGTTTCTTCCTCCAAAATAGCACCTTTATGGGACTACATCCATGCACCTACCTAGTCAGGTCTGCTTCACCCTACGATCCAAATAGAACACATTTGACATGAGTGATACAAACAGTTGTCTGTGTGCTGGGAACGGAAGGGCACATGGAGGCTTCCTCCTAATTGGCCTGACATTTTCACCATGCGAGTTTTCGTGATTCATCATCTATTTGTAACATCAATTTCAAAAGACCATTCTTGGCAGCTGAGATGGCCAGCCCACCGCCCATCAAGGAAGGGACTTTGAACCAGGTTCCTAGTGCTGCTGATGGGCCAGACTGGTGGGCTGAGCCAGTGTCCAGGGAATGGCCAACACATCCTCATCCAGGTTTGCAAAAGACACACAGTTCTGTGAGGTGGCTGAAGTGCTGAGGGCAGTAAGCTTAGGTCTTCCTGCCTGGGGCGCTTCCTCTCTGGGCAAAACTGAGCTTCAGGAGATCAAACCCATGACTTAGGCTTCATCTCAACTCACACAATGAGCCACTTCAATCTACACAAAGAAGAAGCACAAGGAAGCAAAGAATTGAAAGGATTTGGCAAGAAGGCCCTCATTGTACATACTTAACAGGTCACTGACAACTTTTCACACTTCATGGAGAGAACTATCTGAGCCATCAGCAGGTCATGTGACCCACTCTCTTTAAAACCTCTCTACACTCAGAAAACAACTCTAATAGCTCCCAGAATAGAAGGTGAGCTGGGATTTGAGCCTGACCACTGTCTGCCAGGCAGATTTGCTGGCTGCAGGCACTTCCCAGCAGTTAGTGTCTTGCCAGGGAGCTTTAGGCTGCTGGTCTGCATGTTTTGGAGGACTCTCCTCTGCCTGTGTTGACCCTGGTGCTCCATTTCTGTGCTGTGTACTCAGTATCTACTACACCCTCCATGATCTGGGCTGCCTACTACATGAGACATTAGGTATGGAAATTCTGTCCTCATGGTCTTCCTGTCCAGTGGGAAATAGAATACAAAGAACTAAATAACTATCTTTAGGGTAGAAGGTGACTAGTCATTCACAAACATTAAGATCCCACTATGTGCCAGTTAGTGTGCACATGGTATACATTGGAGAGCAAGACAGTCTGGTCCTTAGAAGGGATTCAATAAGCATTTGTTGAAGGAGGCAAAGTAACAATTGTTCGGCACCCACTATGGGCCCAGGCTATATGCCAGGCATTTTCTCTTTAATTGCCTCCCCACAAGTACTCACTTTGGTAGGTAATATTATCCCCATTTTAACAGAGGCTCAGAGATGTTAGGTGACTTCCCCAAGGTCACTCGAAGGTGAATAGAGGATAGGATTGTAAAGCAGAACCATCTGACTTAAAAGATCCTGCTCTTTCAACCTCACTACATTTACCGTTAGCATTTTAGGGCACACCTGCCTTCTGTGCTGTTGTGGCTGATTCATTTCCAAACTGAGAGGCCTCAGAGGACACTGCAGCCTGTTGGCAACAATAACGCATCCACTGCTGGTCCAAGATAAGGACTCGCAAAGCCATTTGGACAACCCACAGTCTGTGATTAACGATTGGATCTGTCTCCGGCTGTCCCTAGATGTTCTCTAGCATCAACTGTGTGATCCACTTATCTTCTTTCCGATAAAATGGGAAAATAAAAGGGCAGAGATGAGAGAATAAAGGTGGAGGGATCGGCCAAAGGACACACATGCATAACTCTCAGCCACAGACAACAGTACAGCAAGGGCCAGAGGGAAGGGGGTGCGTGGAATGGGTGGGGGGCAAAAGAAGGGGGGTGGGGAAATGGGGACATCTGTAATAGTGTCATCAATAAAAATAAAGGAAAAGAAAAAATAAATAAGACAAAATCAGCTTTTAGGGTGGGGGCGTGACTTCCAGAGACAGGGCCACAAGCTCTGCTCCCTTGCTTTGGATTCTTCCAGCCGAGCTGGCCAAACACACGGAGCAGACAGCCACTGTGCAGCAAAGCAGAGAATTGACAGCACTTCCATCCCGACAGGTCACCCTCCCCCCTGTCGCCATTTGCCATAACCCATGGAAATTATTTTAATTCCTTTTTTTCTTTGCTTTCTTCGGGAAAAAGGAGAATTCGGGATTTCCATTGCTAAACAAAGCCTTCAGAGTCAAGTCTAAATTAGTACACCAACACAGCCGGAGCCTGCTCGTCCACCTCTTCGGCACCGCCTCCCCCAGCGCAACCCACGTAGCTCCTGGGCCACCCTTCTCCTTTCTTCCAATGCACCTTGGGTAACTCCGAGCCATCTTTGGGACTCAGCTCAGACACATCCTCGGAACGCTTTCCCCGACTGCACTCCAGCAGCTCATGTGCGCACACTCTGTAGTGCCCCTCCGGTGTTCCCACACACATCCCCCAGCGCGTACACGTACGCACGCACAGTCCTACCCCACTGCGAGCTCCCACACCCCTTCGCGTTTCCCTGGGATGGAGTTTGCTACATCACGCCCAGACCTTGCCAGTAAACCGCTCCTCTCCATGCCTCAAAACAGGAGTCTTGCTATTCCCAAATCCTCAGCTGCCCAGGAGCTCAACAAACCCTGGAGGAAAGAAAGGCCAGAGGGGAAGGAAGACTCTCAGCAGCCCACAGCCCACCCTTCCCGGGCTGGTGCTGGCCTCGGGCCTGGTCCAGTTCTTGCAGTCAAATCTTCCAAGGGAGAAAGGGTGCGTCCTGAGGACGAGCGAGTGGAGCAAGCGGGAGGCAATGGCTGTTCTGTGAGAAAGCTCACACAGGAGCTTGAGGGCTCCAGTGACAAAGATCAGAGCCATTGCTGAGGAATATTTGCAGTACCCAGTGGAGCCCTGAGGGGGACTCAGCTTCTGGTGCTCAGGCCACGGATGGCTCTGGGCCTGTGTGTGGGTGCATGGTCCAAGGCGGGTCTCCAGAACAGGAGGCCCAGCTCCCTGAAGGCGGAAAATTACACATGCTGGATTCCTTCCCCTTTTTCCTGATCCTTGACTAGGCAGTGAATTGGTCAATAGAACAATTTAGGCAGGGGAAAAAATACCATAAAATAAAAACATTTTTTTTAATTTAGGCAGATTTCAGGAACATCTGGCTGGACTTCTAAGCAAAAGTATGCAGGAAGGGGAAGATAGAATAGGATGAAGAGATCCAGGCAGCATGGTCTCAGCTTCATTTCCTTTGCGAGGCTGACATTTGAAAGGAAGTAAAAATACTTAAAATCCCCTCTTCTGTCAACATTGTCACAAAGGTTGGATGGAGCCGGGTTCACCACTTTAAAATACACATTTAAAGCTCCTATGAATGGCTACAGCCATGTTATCAAACTGAACACATGTTGATCTGAGTAGATGAAAAATTGTTCCCAGTGCCTGTGGAGGCCATGCTTTTAAACAAGTGTTTTGCAAAGGATGAGCCATTAGGAAGTACTTTGCATACATGTAGCCCATGAACCTGAAAACAAAAGTAAAATCAATCCCAAATCAGCAACTCCAAGCAGCAAATGAGAGAATTTGGCTGACGTGTTGGAAATATGGCTTTGAAGTGTTGCTTATTTAGTTTATCTTTCATTTCCTGCACAGCTAATACTAGGAAGCATCAAAAATCTGACTTGCTCTGGGATGGTGAACACACAACACAATATGATGTATTGCTCTGGGATGGTGAACACATCAATACAGATGATGTATTATAGCACTGTATACCTGAAACCTATATAATTTGATTAACCAATGTCACCCCAATAAAGTCCATTTTTAAATATCAGCTTTACATTGCATTTTTACAGCCTCCAATAAACTAAGAAATCACACTTTCTTTTAATAAAGAATTCTCCTTTATTATTTTACTTCTCTTTTCCAAAAAGAGATTTTTTCGAAATTTAAATTTGATTTTTCCACTCACCAAGAGAATTGTATTAATCTTGCATTCAAACTGTTCAATCTCAGTTTAGTTTCAAATTGAGAGTTTATTTCATTTCCAGACTTGTACAGAGTGGTTGGCATCCCTCTATCACGTCTCACTGTTGGATACAATTGCTTCGCAAAGCAGTAGCCTGCTGTGTAAATCAAACTCTCCACTTTTCATTCTACATACACCCTTCATGTGTGTAAAACTGAACCTGTACAACAATGTCCTCCTTCAACTAAGGTTTAACATTGCAATGAATCCATTGAGCTAATGCACAGGAATACTCAATTTAAAAAACTTATTAAAATAAATATGAATTCCATTTTATTTCATTATTTGCTTTGCCTTATAGGTTATAAATATGCATGTGGGATAATATTCTTTGTTTGGGGGGTTTATTAGCATTTCAAAGACCAATAAAAATGGAGATTTCTAACAGAGAAATTGTTTACACAATTCTGTGTCTTGAAAGGTGACTCAAACCAAAGGAAAGGAGAAGATAACCTAACCAAGAATAAGTTCTGCATTCTTTTCCTTCATGAGCTTGATATTTTAGTGCCTAAGAAGGATCAATGAGCAGCCTACAGAGTGCCTTAGCAGCCCCAATACTATTCTTCTCATTTGAGAAATTCAGACTTGGCTTAGCTCATCTACTGTCACTGATTTCCAAATGAAAGCCCAAGGTTGTCTTTCACTTAGAAATCATGCTGCCAACTCGGTTTAGAGTACACATGGATGAGGCATATGCTTATCCTCGCTGTCCAGGGAAACGCTGTCATGTGGAAATGTGAGGGCTCCTGATTGAAGCATGTATTTACGGACTCTCCTCTCCTCTTCTCCTCTAGTTACCGTGACGGTGGGAGGCAAGCAACACTTGCTCGGACTGTATGACACCGCAGGACAGGTACATTTTTATTATCTTCATTTGTTATTATCTTCATTCATTCTCATTCTCTTAATTCATTCAATAGATATTACTTCTTCTGATCACTGTCTACCCAAATGACAACCAAAGCACCTTCTTAATATCATAAAAATATTTATAATTCCAAAGAACTAAACCATTACATGATTCAAGGTCTTGATAGGCAAATAATGATTCATTTATTGATTGATGACTGACAATAACCAAAATAATATATTTGGCCAAGACTCTCCATTCTAGACTCTCCTACCCATATCAGTTCCAGATCTAGGATTACTGAGTCTCTTTCACAAATGTGAGTTTCACCCACTTTTTTCTTGTAATGTTCCTTGCCCATCTTTCTTTGAATTGCCTCGTGAGCTGTGCAAAAGTCCAGAAAGAGGCAGGGGATGGGGAGCCACGGGGTAGGAAGAAGACAGAGTAAGTGTTGGGAGGAAGAAAAGCCAGAACTAGGTGTTTTCCAAAAGTGAAGATCAGCCTCTGAATGGCTAGAGGTTGTCTCTAAATTCTCTAAGATTTTTGAAATATTCTCACTGTGTCAGATATGTTTCTTCAAGCTGGAAAACCAGGCCAACCAATAGTGTGAGGCACTGAACTAGAACTCTGAGCACTTAATTAGCTAGCACATGCTCTACCTGGATGAAAATGCCACTTTATTTTTCCTTCCTCATACCCTCTGCTCCATTATGAAAAGTTTCTAATGTTATAAGTTTATGGGTTGCAGGAGAAGTGGTCAAGCAATCGATCACTGTGGGCCAATTTCTTTGAAGGACCTTTTGTTACCATATGTCTCGGGTTACTTATTTAGGTCAAAATCAGCAGGTTGTTTAGTCTTGCAGCTTAAGTCCTTTGGAGTGAAAGTCTGACCATGTTCTTTCCCACTGTGAGTTTCCTGGTAATTGTTATTTATAGTTACACATTTGTCTAGGCCTTTTTTTCACAGTTATCTGGAGATATGTCTTTTTGCTCAACTTGAAAGCTCTATACTAGAAAAAAAAAATAGTTAGTGGCATTTTCTTCGGGATCTCTTTGTGCATGTGCATAGAAATGTCTGTGGAATGTCAAAGGCTGGTGTTGGACAACAGGTCTAGGCAGTGGGGAACTTGGAAAATCTAACACAAAACCCAAGGCTCCTAAGAGCATCCAGTTTCCCCTCATCAACAGATGACTGTTGGGGCCAGCACCTCTCTGACCTGGGGAGCTCACTGACATCGTTACCGAGACACACAACTAGGAAAGGATGCCCCCAGACACCCAATACGGAAAACTGGTTTGGCTCTTTTGGACTAAATACAAGGGGCTCGGGGCAGCTCACACTTGGCTACGCCTTCACTGGAAAGCATTTCAGCATTAGAGGAATACTGCTGTTTGGGCTGGAGCTGCCTAACTCAATCACATAACCATTGGGTTGTCCCCTTCCTCAGGGACTCACAGCCATAAAGACAGAGGAGTTTACATCCTTCTCCCGACAGTAAGATTTCATAGATAATAAATCCAGTTTGAACAGTTTAGTATGGCAAGAATTATTGCCTGACTCTCTCTGTCTCCCTTGTTTTCTAGAAAGTGCTCTATGCCCCTCAGATCCATCAGTTCTCCCTGCTCGCATAGCAATCCATGGCAGTTGTTAGCTTCTGTGTGTTAATTGCCCCCAGGACAACCTCCCCAGGCCTCTATTTAATTTCAAATTCAATAAAATGGTTTAAAAGATCTTGTAGAAGTTAATTTTTCTTTCCCACTGCTCTGTCCTTTATAGAACATAATTTTAAATAATACTAGTATAGGAGTTGAAGCTCTAAGGCAGTGAAAAACGTCTTTAATCTCCAAATTAAAGAATGACCCAGTCCTCTGACAAAGGGGACAGGGGTGATAAAATATAATAACAAATGGGTTATAGGTATATCTTCAACTTAATTCTCCCTTTAATCCTTCCCAGCAGCTACTTTGAAGGCTCAGAGGTAGACAAGGTTCGTACGGGGCCATAAAACATGAGGAAAAGGAATCAGAACATGTCTTACCGTTTCTTCTAGGCTTCAAATTCTGTGATTAGGACATTTAAAAGATGAACTCCAAGAAAGCCTAAAAGAAATGGAGTAATTAAGCACAATGACTTGAGGCTGGACCTAAGGGAGACCTTTCAGCAGGAAAGGATTATTAAATGTCGAAATTTGTTACACTAAAGAATGACAGGTAGTTCATTTTGTAGACCAGTGGTTCTCAAATTTGAACAGGCATCAGGATCACCTGGAGGCCTTGTAAAAATAAAAAAATTTAAAATTAAAAAAAAAAAACAGCCACTGGGCCCCAGCCCCAGAGTTCCTTATTCTACAGGTGGCACCCAAGAATTTCCATTCCTAACAGGTTTCCGGGTGATTGTGCCACTGGTCTGTACACCATACTTTGAGAACCACTGTTCTAGAAGCTTGTCACTCAAAGTGTGGTCCAATGACTAGCAGCACGGACATCGCCAGGGATCTTATTAGAAATGCAGATCTCAGGCCCCACCTACTAAATTCTAAAATTTGTTTTTAAAGATCCTCAGGTGACTCGTATGCACATTAAAATTTGAGAAGCACTACTCTAGAAGTTTTTGGTGCTTATAGCACAGTTCCTAACATTCGAAGGTGGTAGAAATAACTATTACCCGAGTTGATTCCCATGGTTCTATGACTCTGCCAGTAAGACTTTGTAACAAATTTAATTTAGAAGCCTTGTCTCAAAATTTCCATTCCATGTCTCAGGTGGAATAGTCCACCCTCCTCAGTTATATTCTAGTAATGTTGCTGCAGTCACATAGCTAAGGAACATCTGTAACTAACTCAAAAACACTCATTTGGCCAGAGTTACTAATAAGAAAGAGGTAATCTCAAACTTGATTGCTCTTTGAACCACAAAAACGGAAATAAGTCTCTGAGCCCTGCTATGGAGTTCCATCTTGCTGTGAATAATTAGACTTTCTTTCATGAATAAACCAAGGAGCAATGTCTCTCTCCTTTGTCTTGAGCCAACTGTGGGTCAGAGTTGATGAAACCAACCTCAAGAAGCACAAGTGTTCTGAATGGTAAAGTGATATGAACTCATTATTTCTACCCTCCAAGATACCCCTGAACAAAATCATTTGACCTAGTCCCCACTGCTTGGCTGCACCTCGTCAGCCTTGGGCACAACTGCAAACCCCACTGGCCCCCCCTGAGACCCGCTCCCAGCCTTCACAAGTCAGCCAAGCATTTGCTAAAGACAATTTATAATGAAGTCACATACATATACTGGCAGCACATGGCAGCTGCTATGAAACTTTACTCTCTCCCCAAAACTCTGGAACACATTAATATTTGAACTTGAAGTGAAATCCTTCAAAGACAAAGTCTACAGAACTCTAGGTCGTCTGTTCTGTAGAATTCCAAACATTAGGTTAGGCAATGAAGTGAGGGCTTTATCTCCGGTGACTCTGCTTACTAGCCCTCAGCTCACACTGGGGAGGCAATGAGGCCAGGCCTGGAAGGCAGATCTCTTTAGGTCTCACCGGCTCATCCTGCTCGGCACGTGTCCCTTGGAGCACGTTGCAGAAAGTCTCTCTCGAAGGGATCTCTAGAGTTCAGAGCTTTGGCTCAGTGACAAGGAGTCCAAGCACTGACTTTTCCATGACGTGCTCACAGGCCAGTTTGTTTAGAATGTGTCATGAGAGACCAAGTGAGAGCAGGATGCTGGGGTGGGGATGCTGGAGCAGAGCCTGGGTGTTCGCCGGGGGAGGAGTGCCAAACTAGGAGAGGGGTCTTTCCCAGGTCACGGCTCTGAGCCCAGCACCCTCCCACCCCCTGCCCAATATCTAGAGTTGGAGCCAGCCATGGTACTAAGACAACTTGCCTCCTTCTCTGACTGGACCCTGGCTTCCAGGAGCAGTGTGGGCAAAACCCTGCTCAAATTGCAGCCTCTCGGGCCAAACTCCAGGATGGACATATCTCAAAGGCAACATTTGCAAAAGTGGTAGTTAGTGGCCCTGCCAGGGAGGAACAAGAATCTTTTGGTGTCTTTTGGTTTCTCAGTAGGGCAATCCCCTGGGTCCTCTGCACACAAGCCCCATAGGGAAATCACTCAGTGGTGTCTGTCACTGAGAAACCACAGCTCACGGCAGCTTAGCTGTCACCAGTGACCATCGGAGCATGGGAGCCGGAAGGCCCTCAGCTGCTGCCCTCAGCCAGGGCTGCACACCGCACGTCTTCACCGGCCCTGATTTCTGAAGCCCCTTGTCCCCAATGCACTGAAGAGACGTGGGATCAGGCAAGGGGCAAGTGCATCTGGGGTTCATTACCAGCAACCCAGGGTCCACTTGGAAGGTAGCCAGTCTTCCCCTTTGCTATTGGCTCACCCAGTGAGGCCATCTGGAGCACAGAACCTGGCATCAATCCTCTATGGAAAGTTTGCCTAAAACCTCAAAATGCATGTTTTTCCTCAATGAGCAACTCACCCTTTCTTGCTCACATGCATCTTAATGTGGTTTTGGAAGTGTGCAAATTGGGGGTTAGGAAGCAGTTTGCCCACGCAGCAAGTTATTAGTAAAGGTAACCTTAGGACACTGTCTTACTTTCCCCCAAATTAAGAAAAATGAACCTGTAGGGATATTATCAGAGGTTCAGCCAGAGCATGTAAACATGTGGGTCTCGTTACTACTCAGTTTAGAGAAAGTTCGTTTCAGTTTCAGCCCTGATACCCAACGAGGGCTGGGACACGGCAGCTGTCATTGACACAGGATGGAGGATGGACTCTTGACCCCTAAAGAGCTTACTATATCCGAGGCTCTGTTCTTAAAGGACTATAAATATTGACACATGTTATACCCATAAAAAGTCCTATGAGGCTAGCACTATTACCAACCTCATTTTATAGATAAGCAAACTGAGGCAGAGAGAACTTATTCAGGATTACACATCAGTCACTGGCAGGGCTGGGATTTGAACCCAGCAAACATGCCTCCCCAGCCCATG